AACCAATCACAGCCAGAGGAGCGTCTGATGGAGTGTCAATCACAGCTCACACACGCTGAATCCCGCCCCCCCTGCTCGGCTGCCGCAGTCAGGAGGACGCGCGTGGAAGTCATGGCGGAGCGACAGCCACCAGCGAACGAGAAACTGCCCTTACTGCCCCTGCCAACAACTGCTTACACGGCAAACTTCGGTATAACCAGCATCTTATATCTAGCTGCTTGGAGGTGAGTGTTATCGCTCTTACCGGTTCACACTCCATGCCGCGTACGCTGCTTGGACGCTTCAAATCGCATGCTGTAGCCGCGCAGATGCTGTGAGAGCAGTGGAGCTTGGAGGTGCGGCATGAGTGAAGCAGAGAGGGTGGGGGAGTGGCGTGAAACCTGTTTTTTTTCAAATTTTCAGTCGAAGTCTGCTCTCGTCTCGATGTTACAGACTGCAGCTTTAACATGGATGGTAGCAGTGGAGCGCATCTAGTGATCTTTCCCAACCTTAAAAACTCAATCTTTTCAAGATGGTTAAAAAAAAAAAAGACTGCTCTTGGCATTATCGTCCGCCATGGTTGTTGTTTTTCTTTGTTAAGTATTAATGAAGTTTAGGTTGGATGAATGCGACCTGGCATTTGAAAAGATTAGATCCGTATTGGATTCAGGACCACATAGCCAAGTGGCCTGGGTCGCATTCATAAAAAAAAAAAAAATCAGATGTGTGTTGTTCAGGCTGCCATGAAAAGCTCAGATACTGGTCGCATATGGACAAAAAAACAATGGGATTTGGGTCACTTCAGGCTGCTGTGTGAATGTAGCCTAAGATTAAATAATAAAAGTTGGAATGGCCTAGTCAAAGTCCAGACCCAAGTTAAAAGATTATAAAAATTTTCACAGTTCCCTGATGTGATTCAGCTCCACTAAGTGAACCAATGAATGGCTTAAACAGCTCACCCATTCCAGAGCCGATGACATCACCCATAGGACTGAACTTGTTGACCTGTAAAAACAGAGAGCCTTACTTTAATAGGTGCAATATTTCGAGTTTGTTTTGATCTGCTTATAGTTCAGTGAAAAACATTTACAGATTTGATCCCTGCAGCGGTGGAATCATACATCTGAAACACCAGCTCCCCGCTGTTAGCATCAAAGATGTCAATGGTCCTCTGGTCTCCGGCACAGATGCGGTCATCAGGATAGCGCCCCGCAACGATGAGGTCATAAAGGGGATGCCATGTAGCCTACAGAACGATTAAAGCAATATTTTGTTGACAAAGATAGACTCCACCCCCCCTCCAAAAAAAAAAAAAAATGGCCTCCATCTTACAACATCAATGGTTCTGAAAAATCGTAACTTTTTTAGATAAATAAAAACATAAATTTTTTGATATAATTGTTAAAGATGTACAAATAATATCCTGTTATCATCCCCATGAAAACAACCAACAAACCTTAATGGGTGTAAGGTGCTGAAACTGTCTGTGCGGATGCTGGATGATGTGCTGAGGCTTTGACCAGTCAGAGGACGAGTAAACGCGGATCTGGTCGTACTGATCTGTGGTCAGCAGTTTGGAGCAGTCCAAAGGGTTGAAATAAGCTGCAGAGACCCATCATACAGACACAAAGAGCTGTGTTAGCTTTTGATCACATAATAAACTCCTAACATCCACCTTTTCTAACCATCTGCTGTAATCTAATATATTAAATCTGTGCTGCAGAGATGATTGAATTATTCTCAGAGCCCTCTATTGTTAAAGGGATTTTTTCAAGGTCTTTAAGGTTATTTGCTGCAAAGGAGGATGAAAAAACAAACATTTAACTGCACTGCTACAACCTATTTTACAGCTTAAAATTTGTGGTGACCAGCTTTGGGTTTCTGAAAAGGAGGAAACTTTTTTTTCCCTGCTGGGCTTCCAAGGCTGGGCGTAACTTGGGTGGTGGCTCATGGACCTACAGTTACAATATCATTATGCTAAATTTTCCAAAAATGAGTTCAAACATGTTGATTGAACGCTTTCCTATTTTTGAGGGCACAAGACCACAACACACCAATATTTATATTTACAGATTTTAAAGAGATGCCTTTTAGTGCATTACAAATATAGGGCCGAAAAACACCAATGCATGAAAAAAAATAATTAATAAGAGCCGATTCCAATGGCCAAATTGATATATCATGCAGAAAAAATATGGATATGCTGCATTTTAAATATAGCATAGCATATTTTTTTCTTGTAATCTTTCTGGTAAACATGGAGATATATGTCATTGCATATCCCAGTAAATCTGTTTCACCTTTAAATCTGCAGCTCTCCCTACTTCTCTTTGTGCTCTGTTTTAAAATAGATTTATGAACCTCTTTACTAATATGATGACAGAAACAAAATTTCAAGATATGTAGAAGCTCTGCAGTCTGATTCTGTCTGTATAATAAGAAATCTTAAATTTTAACCTGTAATTGGGAGTCATGGTCCTCTGAGAAGCAAAGATTCTTTTTAAATAGTAAAGAAGAACAACCTATGTTTTTCTCAAGCTTCATGTGTTATAATACTTGTTTAAACTTACAATCTGTTGCCATTTTTAGCTGAAAAAGCTTCGTATGTCTAACAAACTTTTTACTTAAACATCAAAGTAGCTGCTGGTGAATATTCACTGAGCGCTGCTCTGCGTCACTCCTCCAACCACGTAGCGACTATCTAAGCAGTAAAATGCAACTGCAAATCAGATGTCTCAAAGCCACAGATCCAACCTCTGTTACCTCCACTGGCTCCCTGCCCCCGTCCGCCGAGGTTCCAGCCCAGCGGCAGAACCTCGGCGGTTCAAATGCCCGGTGTGTTTCGCCTACATGCTGCACTGTAGTCGACCAAAATCCTGGACACTTTTTAAATTCCCCTCCGGACATTTTTTTTAGGTATGAAAAGTTGGACATGTCCAGGAAAAAAAAGAGGACGTCTGGTCACCCTATCTAAATATAAACTAGAAAAAACATTTCCTATCATAGCTCAGTTTGGATTCCCAGTTAGCTAAATGAGAATAGAATAATGACAGATCATTCGTTCTGAGCTCTGTTGTTCTCCAACAGTGAAAACAAAAACATTCTAGAGGTATTTGGGTGCTTTTGCTAAACCCATCTCTAACATGTGCAGAATTTTAACTTGGTTGTTTCAGTGTTTAAGAATGATTTAAACGTCTGAAAAATAGAACAGTTGCCAGACTACTTGTTGAAGGTTTTTCTGTTACTAAAAAATTTTATCAGTTTGAAACTTTGGGTGGGGAACTTTGTTCCCTGTGTTTTTCCTTATTTTATCTTATGCATGTGTGTAAAATAAAATATCTTACTGCAGCAAATCTACTGAATAGTCTGAGTTTTTTTTCCAATAGGGTTTACTTTTAGAGTTCTTTTCTCACCCTTTGACTTGTCTGTACTGCAAGTGTTTTGCAAGCTGTGAATTTATTTTTCTCAGGTACAGAGTATAACAATGAGGAAGGTTCCCACCTTAACATGAGCAAAGAAAGGTTACCTAAAGAAGGACTTCCTACCTGAATTAACGGCTTTCTCGTGAGGCATTTTGTGGAGGAAGCTCGTCTTGTCCTTGATGTTCCTCAGATCCCAAAGTTTAACCGTGTGATCAACTGATGCCGTCACCAGCAGCCAGTCGCATCGAGTGTTAAACTCAGCGTGCGTCACTTTAGCTTTGTGCAACTTATTGCTGAAAATCTAAAAATAAGAAGATCAAAGGGCAAAAACATTAACACTTTTTTTTTCTACTATCTTAAATATAAAACTATGTTTTACAGCAGTTTACAGCCCTGTTTTATGTCGATTAGACATATGATTTTCAAATCTATTTTAATTAGTTTTTAGTATTCATTTGCTAGCTTAAATTACTTCTTATATATGAATCATACACACACACACACACACATATATATATATATATATATATATATATATATATATATATATGAATATGCTTAGTATCAGCATAGTTTGTTGTAATTTCAGCTATAGTTTGTCTTATGTACTAATGCTAAACCAGGGTAAGGAAGACAAAATAATTAGAAAAAAATGAAATAAAATAAAAGTAATAAAATGAGAGACAGCTGCAGCAAGACCTCATATTAACACATTATAATAAAACACAAACTAAGCATTATTAATTTTGTAAACGCTTTTTACAGTTTCTGTTATTTTACGTTAATTTTTTCGAAGATCTAGTTTTTATCTTTTTTTTAATTTTAGTTGACAATAAACGATACAGCTGCAGTGCTAATTAATGTTAGCAATGGTTAGTAGCTGGATAAAATTTTTAGATATCTTCTCAGCTTCAAGCCTTTAAGGAAGCTTACAGTTGCAACCAAAATTAGTCATAATCTGGTTGGATTTACACTTAAAGTCAATTTGAAATATATAAACAAAATCTTTTTTCTTAGTGGATGTAATAACCTTAATTTCAATAGATTTCTTGCTTCCTTCTGAGAGTGAACAATATTGTTAATTTAGTCTCTTGCAACTCCATCTTAAATTCTTTAAGTAAATATAAATAATTTAAAGATTTTTCTATATTAAGACTGGTTATAAGGAGTTAAAAGATAAACAAACAAACAAACAAAAAAAAACAACGTTTGACTCCTAATTGAAGCACCTTTTGGCCATCCAGACCCAGTAGCGTGAGCTCGCCAACGTTGTCTCCGGTCACAAGCATCTGTCGACTCACAGACACATCCACACAACAGTACCAAAAGCTGGAAAAAAGAAACAACAAAAAAAATCAATTTAGAGGGTATAAGAAACGATAAACAATACATTCTAAGGGGTGGAAATATTACAGCCATTTTAAAAGCTATAATATTTAAAAAGTCTAAACCTTTGTGTGACATATAATCGCTCAACATTTATATAATTTAGTGCTAAATGTATAATCATATGAAACAAAGAAGCAGGTTTCCTTTCAATCTTTGATTTGACTCTTGTACTTTTTTCCACATTTTGTTACATTATACAACGAAGTATTAGGGCCAGCATAGAGATTTATTTTTTATTATTCCATGAACAAAGTTGTAAAATTACGAGAATAAGTTGCAATATTACGAGAATGATACAACATCGTCATCATACAACAACCCGTTTCAGAAAGAAAGCTTTGAGCTCCGATCAGCACACGACGGCCGACCAGCACCACCAAAAAGCAACCCGAGTCCACTTTGACATTCTGCCCAATTTGATTTTCTTATTTGTCAAACTAGAGCCAAAATATAACTTCACATAATGCTCAACATTCCTCATTTTAGGGAAAAAAATGCTTCTTATATGAGTTGTCATAAAATACAACTTGTTTATCGCAATTTTGCGATTTTATTCTCGTAATTTCATGACTTTATTTTCGTAATTTCGCGACTTTATTCTCGCAATTTCGCGACTTTATTCTCGCAATTTCGCGACTTTATTCTCGCAATTTCGCGACTTTATTCTCGCAATTTCGCGACTTTATTCTCGCAATTTTGCGACTTTATTCTCACAATTTTGCGACTTTATTCTCGCAATTTTTCAACTTTATTCTCATAAATTTACAACTTTATTCTCGTAATTTTTCAACTTTATTCTCGTAATTTTTCAACTTTATTCTCGTAATTTTTCAACTTTGTTCTCGCAATTTTGCGACTTTATTCTCGCAATTTTGCGACTTTATTCTCGCAATTTTACAACTTTATTCTCGTAATTTTTCAACTTCATTCTTGTAATCGTAATTTTCCAATTTTATTCTCGTAATTTTACAACTTTATTCTCGTAATTTTACGACTTTATTCTCGCAATTTTACGACTTTATTCTCGCAATTTTACGACTTTTATCTCGTAATTTTTCGACTTTATTCTTGTAATTTTTCGACTTTATTCTCGTAATTTTTCGACTTTATTCTCGTAATTTTTTCGACTTTATTCTCGTAATTTTTTCGACTTTATTCTCGTAATTTTAAGACTTTATTCTCGTAATTTTAAGACTTTATTCTCGTAATTTTAAGACTTTATTCTCGAAATAGAAGAATATAAAATCTCTAGCCTGACCCTAACACTCCGTTGTAACATTACAACCACAAATTTCAATGTATTTCATTGAGATCGAACAGATGTAGAAAAAGTTAAAGGAAAGGGAAAATTAAAAAGGTATATGTTGCATTTTGTTTGCAAAAACATAAAAAGAAAAGAAGCTTTATTTGTCTCTTTTACATTATTACGTTATATTGCCGCCCGTCCTCCCCTGTGATACAGAGAAGTGTGGTTGTATTGTGACAAAACAAACGGTTTAAGGCTAATACATTTGTAAGGTGTTCTGACTGCAATGTTTCATAACGTCAAGCATCAGCCTTCTTTCCAGTTTTCTCACCAAACAGAGTGGTGATCATGACCGCAGTCTTGAGTTCTGGACAGTAGGGTGGGAGCGTGGCCCTCTAAGCTGTGCAGGGTCAGCATCCCCTCCCCTGAGGCTGCATAAACTTTGGAGAAGTCTGTGGGGCAAAACTTCATCCCTCCAATGAAGTCTCCTGCTCCGTTCTGCACACATTAATACAAATGCAAGCTTTTAACCCGTTTGCGATTACACTAAAATCAGTAGGGGCCAGCTGATAAGAGGACTGATGCTAGACTGAGAGACAACCCCTGATGGAGAAAGAGGACTCTTAGTCTTACTGCAGGTCTTCTTTACTGGCAAACACTTTAAGGGTTGTTCCACTGAAATCTCGAAGAGCTGTGGTACCTCCCATAGACGAGGTGAACAGCTGACTGGGATTTAACAGGTTAAACTTCATGTCTGTAACTGAGTCTCCAGGCCCCATCTAAGCAGAGAATTAACAAAAGGTTTTCGACATGCACATCTATAATCCACACTTCTTACTAATAAAAAAAGTGACTTTCTTTAAACTCAAAATGAGCTCAGATTTTTTTTACAAAGATCAGCAGGACCCCTTTTTCTGTTAATTACCAAGATGAAACCGATCAGACCTGCAACAACTCACCCCTTGAATAAAGCTTTTCTTTTCCGACTTCTCAAAGTCCCAGAGAAAAATGTCCCCACCTTTAGAGGCTGCAGCCACAGTGGTGGGGTGAGTGGGGTGCCACTCCAAACAAGTGATTCTTCGGTCAAAGGGGCTACTGGCACCGTGGAAATGATAGGATGACAGAGATCGAACGAAGGGCACCTGCAGACACTGAGAGCGACACAGACAGGATTTTTTTTTGGTTGAACAAAACAATTCAAACAACATCTAAACACGTCTATAACTACAGCTCCTCTCACAGCTGGATTAATCATCTGTGTTGGAAATAATTTGGCATAATAAGACTTTCAGTGTCTTCCGTGTCTTGTTTTTAAAGATTTAAATGCACTTTCTCCTCCTTTAACAGATTTTATAAGCAAAAAAAAAAAAAAAAACATTACTAGAATAAACACCAGAGCTTTAACCAGGAGACTGTAATGTTCAGCGGCTTAGGACCGAATTTGGCCAAATAGTTGCATCCATCAGAGCAGCGCAGTCATAGAACACACTGCCAGCTCATGTTAGGGGCTGTTTAACCTACATAACGTTATAATATCTTCTTGAAACATTGGTTGAAAACTAACCAGAAATTTCTTCACAGGTGAATTTATCGGTTTCTTTTGGCCTGTTAACCTTATTTAAAACTATCACACATCGTAATGGCTAAAATATGACTAAGACTAACAATAGTTTTCATCCTGAAGTCTAAGACTAAATCGAAGATGGCTGTCATAAACAACACTGGATGGAGGTGGAATCAAGAAATATTATTTTAATTATGAAACAAAAACATATTGCTGAGACTCCCAGCTTCGAAAGCACACCTTCAATATAAAACCCCCATACAAGCAAAAAATAAAATAAAATAAAAAAAACTGTACATATAAAGGTAGCATGTCATGCATACATAAGGTGCAGCTAGTCCAGTCTATGAACTGGGCAGATGGATTTTCTTGGGTTGTGACTCCAATGTTGACGACCTCTTTGAATCACATTTCAGATGCACCTTTAAAATCTAAGCTTGGAGAATTGAAGCTGTGATGGTAAAAAAAAAAGAAGGATCCAACCTGGTATAAGCAGGGTGGATTTAATTGAATGACGGGTGAGAGCAGTTAACTAATGTCTTTTTTTTTATTTTCTTTTTTTTATTACATGCTGAAAGTAATAAAGTAAAGGACAGATTTGATTGTATAGGAAATACATTGTTAAAGCTGGAAATGTGTAACCACGCCCACAAAATGTGGTCTTCACCTTGAGTTAATAACTATTCATCCCCCTCCCATCATTCCATAATTTACCACTAATCTTGCACTACTTGATCATGGGCTAAGCATGCACCAGAATGGTTACCTGTCTCATTTGAGAGTGCAGACTCTGGCCCAGAGTGCTCCTATAGATATAGTGCAGGATGTTCCCATTGCTTTTTTTCTTCTGAACTCCTGTAGAGCTGTCAGGTGGAGCCCCTGCAAAACCAAGTAATCCAATCAACAACCAAAACTATTTTGACACACAGCAACACATGATCAAATCAATTCACCTCACCTGCTGTGGAGGTTTCGCCATTAATCTTGTCTCGCAGTTTTTTAGTCAGTGATACAGCGGGCTCCTCAGCGGCTTTTCTCTTCACTTTACTTTTCGATTCATTTGCTTGTGACTTGGTGGGCTTGCTTTTCATTTCTCAGCTTGTTAATCGATAACGCAACTCGACAGAAATCAATTCACCCTGATGTTTAAGGTTCTAACCTGCTCCTTACCTGTAATGGGCAGCTGGACTGCCTGCATGCACACAGGATTCTGTTTGCGTAACGCTGCGAAACACGTGACCTCTCCATGGCTGCATGCTTGTGTTTTGTAACTACCGTGTTATACAGTCGGGGCACGACAGGGGGCGCTGTTTTTCAAACTAAACATAGGACGCCATTTTTTTTTTAAATTGAACACAAGATATTAATTTACATTTTTAAGTAGAAATCTCCACTCTTCTTTCTTACAAGAATTAAAAAGAGAAAATAACAGTTATATACAGGAGATCAACTTATACGGAAAAGTATTAGGGCCATTGAAAAAAAAAAGTTAACTGATTTGTAAATTTTATGAGATTAAAGTCAGAATTCTGAGAAAAAAGTCAGAATTCTGACTTTTTTCCCAAAAGAAAACTGAAATACACTTTAAAAATCAGTTAACTTTTTTTTCCCTGTAGCCCTAATCCTCTTCCGTAAACTTAAATAGTGCAAGGCAACAGAAATAAATTAATAAACAGGCAGTAGTATTACAACCAATGGAAACATACAAAACTTTAAAAAGAATTAAATTAAATTAAAAACACAGACTCGTTCTGCTACAAGAGAGTTTCTTGCGTCATGTTAACTTTAGCAAATTTGTGAGTCAAAAAAACAGAAATATTGATATGTCACTACATAGTTTTTATATATGTCCATAATTGTAGGCCAAACAAAACAGTTTGTGTTGACACTTATTAATGAAGGTTTTTTATTTTTCATTTTACATACATGTATATGATAGCTTCCTATACTTGTAACAATATTGAACATTTCAGATAAATCCTTCGAAATGTCATTCTTGTATGTTAATATTTGATAAAACATTGGAAGCCATGATTGGAGTTCAGATAAAACTACAAAAAACTGTAATCTTCCTTCTGTTCACTTGAAAGGGTTTTTTTTTCTCCTAAAGGTTATACAAACGCTTTAAAAATACTCACTCAACCGATTGTTTTTATTTAATATAAATTCAATTACCAGAGAATAAAAAACAACTAATAATTAGCAATGAAATAAAAAACATGCTGATACGTTTTCTTAAAATAAACAAGTGCATTCAAAAAGAAACTTAATCTCAGAAAAAAAACCAAAGGAGGGTTGAAAATCAATATAAACAATTACATCAAGGAACTTAATATTAATTAAATGAGTAAAGTTCTATTAGCCCCTTTAACATTTTCATAAATATTCCAAAAAAAATTAAAATAAATCCAATGGACTTGGTTTCCAAGACTGAAGACAGTTCACTTTCCATCCAGGAACCTTTTACAATATAAAAAAAAACTAAATAAAATAAAGAATTTGAATTGTAAAAGCGAAATGTCTTCAAACTTGGAAACCAGTTTGAAGTCCAGTGCATTGTTTTTTAACCTTCTTGGAATGACTATGACCTGGATGACTGGGAATCTCCACCAGCATATTTTCATAAATACAACTGACTTCTTAAGATATTTTTTAGTAAACAAATGAATTAAATCTGATCAGAGAAAAACAAAGCTTAATTCATATGCACAAGACAATCTGAATTGTTACATTTTTTTTGTAATTACATAAACTTTCATTGTAATTCATATGCAATACCTGGCCTACAAGTCTACAAGATCCCATATTCCAAGAATGAATCAGTATTTAGTCATTACCTACTGTTCTAGATCAGTCTGATGCTTATTTTTTGCATTTCCAAGTATTTTTGTCTATAAAAAATTAGGTATATGAGAAAGGAGTGTTAGGATAAATATCATTGAAGATGTGTGAGTATATTACACCTTGGTATTGGCTGCCTGTTGCGCATCAGAACTAATGTTTTAATCTAATTAGGACAGTTCCTCTGTCTGGATACACAGTTATAATCTTCATTCTGTACCTGGCAAAGATTTGGAAGTGGAATGAGAGCGGTGTCCTTCAGCTAATAACAAAGTGTAATATTTTGATAAAGCTGGAGCCATGGATGCCTAATCATCTGCTAACATGTATGATGTAAAATAAGATTAAGTGGCAGACTGGAGATGTATAAATTGCCTTCTAACTGTTAATCGGGGCCACTTCCTGAGACATGAGCCCAGAGGTCAGCAGCTGCCTTCTGTACATTCTAAGCAATTTCTCTGATCTGAGTAAGATTAAAATTACCGTACTATCAGAATCTGTGGTCATGTCTCCTGGTTATTTAATACATATAATTTATGAAGTGTTATTTAAAGAGTTTGTCCCGGGTGATCTCTTTTCAGGGAAAATAACTAGAAAGATATAGTATCAGGGTGCATACACAGAGCCCAATGGCGTAACTATTGATAAGCAGAGACTGCAGTTGCTCAGGGGCCCCCAACCTCTTAGGGGCCCCGTCACTGACACCTGGTAGGCCCCCTTCACAATTATGGACTAGGATGTCTCAATGCATACGTAATTGTGCGAAAAAATCCTTTTACAACTCAACTGAGTTTGTATTGACTGACCGGACCTTATTTATACTTCAAGACATGCCAGATTTCAACATGATGCTGAGCCGTTTAAATACCACACCAATAGCAAAGCAGACAGTGGTACTTTTAATAACTATATTAATAACTGTGTATAGTTCATTAGACGGTTGGTAAAAAATACACTCGTATGTTTCAAACGGCAATAAAGATCTTAAAAGAACGATGTATTTTAGTATTATATTTTTACACTGCGACTTGGAATTATGGGTAATCCAGAGATTAGGGGGGAATGGGGTGTTGTATTTCATATGGGGCCCATACAGATAATGTTGCTTACGGGCCTATTGTTGTGTAGTTACGCCATTGACAGAGCCTATCTTTAACAGAAGAAATTTAAACTTTGTGTTACATTTTTTTCCAAAGTTTTTAAAGGCTTTATCAGACACTGGTAGTTGTAGTTCCTTCAACATAAACATAAAATGCATATTTGTGTTATAATATTAGACGTGGAATAATTTCACAGTTGTTTATCAGTTGCTAGGCCACCCAGATTCATCAGCTGTGCCAAACTGCAACCTGAATTTTCATACAATTTTAAACTGTAGACATTACATATTTTACAATTTTGTTTTTTGTCGTCCGTTGCCAACAAAGATGCATCTTCCATGGAAGTTATAACATTCTTTGCAAATTTGATAAAAAAAATCAATTGAAACACTGAGAACTCTTTATCTAAAACTCCCCATACAACCAAAAGCTGAAGAAACTCACTTTAAAATTTTAAATGCAATTTACCCCTCAAAAGTACTACTAAACTACTAAGAATTTGTTTTAATATTGATGACAATAAATGCTCATTCTGTGAAAGTGATATAAAAACAATAGACTTGTCTTCTATGAATGCAATCAAACCAAAACATTTTGGAATTGCATAGAAACATGGATCAAATCAAAACTTGCACTCCCTGAATCTATTTCTAGAGATATCATAACTTTGGAATATTATTGAAAAACAAAACAATAGAACTCTGTTGTAAACTAATTTTGTGTTTAGCAAAATACTTTATTCATAAATAAAGAGTGTTGAGATCATCCCCAAATTCAAAAGTTTTTTTTTTTAATCTGAATTCAAGTTTTATTTGAAATCTCATAAATGTATCGAATCATACGAATACCTGACTGAAATACTGAAGGGTTTGCCCACTGATGTTCATCAAACCTAACATGAATCCTCTTGTTGCCATTTTAATAATTATTTCATTATAATTATTCGCCATTCCTTTAATTTGTTTGCTCTTTATCAATAATGCCTTGTACTTCAATTTTTTAAATCTGCCTCCACTGTGCCTTTCACATATTTGTACTGTTGCTATTGCCTTACTTGTTTGTACTTACTTTTTTTTAAATAAAGTTAAAAAAAAAACACAAAGACGGAACTTCCGGGTGGACCACGTGTCTCTTGTTCTGGAATCTTATTGGCTGCTTTCGGTTCGTTTTGAAACCGCTCCGTCTGATATGATGCGGAGGGAAGATTCAAATTTAGAGCAACGGAGACGGTCGAAGTAAAACACAGTCTGTAAAATGAACCGACAAGTGTAAGTATTGCTTATTTTATACTGCTTGTCTTATTTAGAGGTGATTTATTATGTTGTATGTTATTTATAAATATCGAACTTGTAAATTTACGGAATTATCGGTGCTTCAACAAGTAGCCTAACCGTAGGACAGTTAGCAGAGCAGGCACTTTACTGTTATAAATCGCTCGAATTAGCTACGCTGGTTCATAATGTAATGGATTTTCTCCTTCATTGTTAGGAAATGTAAAACACCCCGAAGGCCTCCTCCTAGAAAGCCTCCTAACAGCCAAAAGGACCCAGTAGGGGTAAGTTGTTGTTAAAGGGGAATTTCAACATGGCGTTCTACAGAAAGAATGCCTCTGCTCTCCTTATGAGCTCCTTCTGTGAGCTATCAGACTGCATTGAACAATAAACATTAGGATCGTGTTTTCGTTTATCTCAGGTGTATCTACGTGTGCGGCCCCTGACTGCGGAAGATGAGGAATGCTGTATTGAGGTGATCAGCAGCACCACCGTCCAGCTGCATGCTCCAGAGGGCTTCAAAGTAAACCGCAATGGAGAATATAAAGAGGTAACCCATCCGGTTGGGATGCATTGACGGAAGAGGATTAGGGCCACTGAAAAAATAAAAAAAGTTAACTGATTTTTAAATATTATTTCAGTTTAATATGGGAAAAAAGTCAGAATTCCGACTTTAATCTCAGAATTCCGACTTTAATCTCAGAATTCCGACTTTTTTCTCAGAATTCCGACTTTAATCTCAGAATTCCGACTTTAATCTCAGAATTCCGACTTTAATCTCAATATTCTCACTTTAATCTCAATATTCTCACTTTAATCTCAGAATTTCCAAACAACTAACATCTTTGTCAGTGAAGCTGAGATTAAAGCCAGAATTCTGAGATTAAAGTGAGAATTCTGATAAAAAAAATTCAGAATATTATACTGAAATAAAATTTAAAAATCAGTTAAATTTTTTTGTTTTTTTCAGTGGCCTTAATCCTCTTCCATATGTATCAGGGCTGCAACTAACGATTATTTATGCTAACTGATTCATCTCTTGATTATTTTTTTCTAGATTAATAATTAGATAGCCAAATACATTTTGCCAACTTAAACCAGTTAAAATTAAAACTTTTCCACTTGAGGAGTTCTGGATAGGGCATATGGACTGACAAAAAGTTTTTTTAAATCTCAAATGCAAAATCTTTATTTATATAATATATAATATATATTTTAATTTTGGTATAATTGTTGCTCATTGTGGGTTGCTCTTTCAGGTAATCACGTTGTAGTCTCTATACTCCAGTTTTTGATGAATCAATTACTAAATTAGTTGATGATTATTCCAATAATCGATTATTCACAATTAATCCGATTCATTGTTTCAGCCCTCTGAAGCTCCTTTGGGTTACTGCTTGAGCATGCCATACATTTCTGTTTTTTGCTCTGTGGGGGAAACATTTTTTTTGGATCTAGTCCAGGTTATATTTTAGTTTGCACTGCAAAGCAAGGCACTTTTTAGCCATGTGGTGTAGAAGGTTGTTGGAGCTGTTTCAGAATTGGGAAAATGCATAATGATCTTTGTTTTATGGGTCAGATTCTAAGTTATTTTTGGTGAGTTACTGATTGACTTTAAACTGCTATCCTTCTTTTGCCGAACAATACTAATAATAAGATAATTATTATTATAATTATTATAATGCGCTGACCCAATACCTGGATCGGATACCGGCTCCAATATTGCTTAATTAGCCAGATTGGATATCTGAATAATGACGCTAATGCAGAATACTGATTCAGTATGTTATCATTATCCTACCCAGCAATTCACTTACAGCATTCTAATCACTTCAATTTGATGTTTACAATGCCAGTTATGCAACCATGGAAAGCACACATGGAAGCTGGTGAGGACCCCACTGTTTTTTTTTTTTTTCAGAGATGCATGTTCTCAGCAGTAAATATTGATATTGGTCATTTTTCAAGCATATTAGTATTGGCCTGATGAGTACAACTGGGCCGACATTAACAACCTCTATTTATTTTTATGTAGTTGCCATAGTTTTTTTTTTTCGGTCATGTGGTGTTTGTTTTATTCGAATGACAGCGATTGAAATGCACCTCACCATTGTGGGTGTATAACTGAGGTAGAAAAGTAATGTTGGAAATCTATTTTTCATACTGTCCAAAGAGTAAGGAAAGAAATGCTATTGGTAAATAGCGGTTATCCATCTTTGTTTTGTTTTTTAAATGGTGTCGGGTCAAGCCTGATGTCTTCGCTCACAATGCCAAGTATGTAGTTCACTTAACTGTAGTATTAGATCTGCAGATAAAAAAAAATCTATATGGCATTTATTTTCAACCAATATTGTGATGTTTTTATATTGAAGTACATCTGGTGTGAACAGAGAACTTTCTTTACTGTGCATATGACAAAAAAAGTTTTTACTTTATATAGGTTTTTGCTGCTCTATTAGGTTTTTATACAGACTAATAACATTCTTTCATTGTCCTTTCACTCGATAAAGTAGTTCTAACTTGACAGCAATGTACTTTACCAGATTGGTGGTTCTCTTGACCTGCTTGATTTTTAGGGCGATGTGTGCTTCAGATATTTACACTTCTGTAAACTCAGGTCAGCAAGATCACCAAATTGGTTTAGAATCCCTTCTCTAAATGTTCTTTGGACTAATTTATCTGTTTGTTTTTTTCCTCAGTTTTTATTTTTCTCTACTGTTTAAAAAAAGTTTTATTTTAAAGGAGAATCAATCTATAAACTTAAGCTTTTTATGTAAAGTCTACCAAAAATGTGTTTTTTGGTTCATTGAAATTGAATCGCTGTTCGGATGTTTTATTTGATTCAGTATCAGACTTTATATGATATTCTCTTATACTAACATCTGATTTGCTTTTCAGACGCAGTACTCCTTCAAAAAAGTTTTTGGAGTTTCTGTATCACAGCTGGAGCTCTTTGAGCATGTGGCCAAACCTCTTGTTGTGGACCTCCTTCATGGAAAAAATGGTAAGCGCATCGATCAACCCCACAAATAAGGTCTTAATATGTAGTTGGTGCAGGGGTGTGGCACTTTTTGGGCCCTGTACAGTCTCATTACCAGCAAGCCTCTGGGCAATAAACTGGATTTTTACCCTTACAGCCGTTCACTACCATAACCGGTGACAAATTTCCCATGTCAGCAAAATAAATAAACGTAATTCTGGCGTTTTGCCCGTGTGCACTGGTGGCTGGAATTTCCTTCCCATTTAAGACACTGTAGCAGGTGTGTAATCACATGACTCCACCGATCCAGTCAGAAGTGTAAACCAAAAGAATTGCAGATGAGCCAAGTGAAGAAGCCTTTAACACAGCCGTAAACAAAATTACATCAGTTAATCCTGTGGAGTCGAGCAAGAGTTGGAGCACGCATATAAGAGGTCGGGAGCGCATTGTTAGAGTTGAGTGTGTTTGTGTGAGTTTAAACGATGAACATTGTTAGCACTGCACGCTCAGTTCGGTGGCATCTAAATTACACCATAGATGTTGAGTAAAAGAAAATGAAATGCAAAGTTTGTCTGAAACTGTCAGGATACCCAGAGTAACCATCCAGCCTCCAACATGGTCCTGAAGGCACACTGCTCTGCATGTTTTAGATGTTTCTGAGCTTCAGCACACCTGATTCAGATGATTGCAGTTCAGCAAAGCCTGATAATCTGCTATCAATTGATAACAGGTGTGTGAAAGCTGGGAAACATCTAAAACATGCAGGGCATTGTGCCTTGAGAACCAGGGTTGAAAAACACTGATCTACTGCACAACCACGCTGTTGAGTTCAAAGATGTGCAAAAGGCTCCATCACCTTTGCACAAAAATGTTTGCAAGAGAGATAACATTTTTCTCTTATTAAATGAAACACTGTTGAATGTTTAAACCTGAATGGGAATAAGACCTTAACATTTAATTAAAGGTAATATGTAATGTGATTTAATTGAAAAATGGATTATAAATCAGTTGCATTTCCTGCACATGCCTTTATTTCTTGCTCCTTTAATACTTAAACAACGATCTCACCTTGTTTTTGCTCATCTTAATGACTGGCCACTACTGCACCAGCCGCTGTGGCTGATCCAACCCCACTGTTGGTTCCTGAAACTGGTTCATGTTAACAACTAAGGTTAGCTGACCTATAAAGCAAGCAGCCTGATTGGCAACTAGCTAAGCTAAATAGCTACTTCAGGGGCGCATAGGACAGCAGCTGTGTAGAGTGAACTTTAATTGGACTTTGCATAACAGGCGAGTGTGGTTCACCTTTGGAAAAGAAAGCTGTCAACAGCAGCCTTTCTTCTTCTTTTGATGCCCTCATTTATGCTTTTTCTTCTTTTTTTTTTTTTTAAGAAAGCATGATGTTTATCCCCCAGATCATTCAACCGTAGCTCACACACATTAAATTTGCCAACCGTTTTTGTCAAATGGACTAAACCAAGCTCTAACAACACCATTTGAACTTCTTTCAGGAGTTTTATGTTGTGAAGCAGGTTACCAGCGGACAATCACTATACTATCTAGACACAGGTTAAAACAGGTGTCGAATTTACGCCCATGTCTGAGTAAAGCTGTTTGGAATTTGAAGAACTTAAGTGACTGACAGCAATTCTGAATATTTAATATTTTATTTTGTAACAATCAAATTTGTTCAACAATATTTTCCTTAAGTTTGTGAACAGATGTTTTCAGATGTGCTTTGTAGTACAAGTTGTACACGAATACATAAATATTATTAAGGGCTGTAGAGTTTTCACACTATGACATGGCATAGCGGTTTGTTTTTGTTGTGCTTTCACGGTTGTCCAGCTGTTCCTGTCTTATAATGCAACCATTTATTTTCTGTTCTTTCTCCTTTTTAAGTTCAGCATATGCTGATGGCATTCTTGGTTCATTGCAGGTCTGCTCTTCACATACGGTGTCACAGGAAGTGGAAAAACTTTCACCATGACTGGCTCTCCAGGTCTGGGAGGATTGCTGCCACGCTCCCTTGACATGATTTTTAACAGCATCGGCCCCTTTCAGGCCAAAAGATATGTAAGAGAGCATTAGGCAATGAATATATTTTCAGAGTCCATATCATTTACAACTATATTTACTAAGTTGTTGATTTGTTTTGTTCTTTATTTTGTTCAGGTTTTTAAGACGGATGATAAAAATGGTATGGAAATTCAATGTGAAGTTGATGCCTTGTTGGAGCGTCAGAAACGGGACAGCAATTTCACCGTCCCTAAAACTCCTTCCTCCAGGTAAAGGATGTTTGGCTAGAAAACAAGACAAAAAAATGCATGACATCTGGAAAATACATATGGCTAAATATCACTGTGGTGTGTGTAATTTAGACAAAAGGTCGACCCTGAAATTGGAGACATGCTCAGACCAGAAGAGGCTTGTAAAGCAGACAATGTGGATGAAGACAGCAGCTACAGCATCTTTGTCTCCTATATTGAAATCTACAACAACTACATTTATGACCTCTTGGAAGAAACTCAGGAAGATGCAATCAAGCCAAAGTGAGTTTCAAGATTAAACCATGTGTACTTAATTGTAAATAGTTTGTTTGGGTAATATCATGTTTGACCTGTAGGGAATCTTAAAGGTATAGTGGAGGATGTTCTTTTTCCCGTTGGATCATCAAAATAATTGGTCCTCCTAATTGTCAATCATTCTGGTGATATGTTTACGTAAGGCAGCCCGTGTCCCGATTTTGACTTACCGGTGGTGAATCTGACATAGTGGAAAAATTGCACATCTTTTTTTGGAAAGTAAGCGTGTAAGAGCGATGCAAACAGCAACTTTTAAAGAGAGCGTGCATGAGGAGAAATTGGCTTGTGCACGCTCTCACACCCGCATTTAATAGGGATTCCCTCTCTGGAGCATGTACAGAGTTGTGGATGTGCATTTTTTTTTTAAGTGTAGAGGTAGGGTCTTTTAAAAAATGTGCGAAAATCCTCCACTATACCTTTTAATTAAAGTTTCAGTTTCCTGCCAGAGTAGCTTGAGGATCAAACTGTTGTCTTTTCTTTCTGCTAGGTGGAATGGTGGAGGCACACCTGTGCGTCAGAACACAGATTTCATGTATGTGGCTAGTGAATACTCATCCATTAGTCATCAGAGTAGCTGCCTGATTTAGCTGAGCTCTCCTGTTGCTTAAATATGTGAAATATAATTTAGAAAGGGCCTCCTTATTAGTTATGGTGACACTTTTGGAAGTTTAGCATAAAGTGCAATTTAAATGCAGCTAGATATTGATATTTCCTAAACAAAAACAACATAAAAGATACCAACTGATTTTCAATATTCTGAGCCTACAAGACTTCAATGTTGAGCAGTGTTTGACTATGAGGGGGGAAAAATATTATAGGTTTTGGCCAATACTTACATGATTAGTTAATGATTGCTAATTATCAGCAGTACTGGGAGAAAAGTAACATTCTTTAAACATAAAAATTTCCCTGAAACATTTTTGTCAATTCATTTCTTACAATAGCCTCTTTACTAGATGTTGGGATATAAAAATTCTATATCAGTTAGAGAGTATCCCCATAGTATACGGTGAAAAACAAAAATTCAAACAAATACATTGAAAATGCATGTAGAATTATAAAAAAAAAAAAAGTAAATGTGTCACCACTAATAATAAATATTATTACCAGTTAAGTTTGATAACATATCAGTGTACTTATTAAAAATATCTTTATAGAAACTACACAGAAACTACAAAAAAAAGCTTACATATGTGGACGCACTGTATATACTGTATATATATCCAAGCAACCTTTCCCCCCTTGGCAACCTCCTCCCCTTTTTTAATATTGGAGCTGATTTAACGAGTAAATTTCTCCACTGTGAGATCTATTAAGTCAATCAATATGTGTTTAGTCTAGTCAGACGCATACGTCCAGAATTATTACAAAATAAGAGTAAATTTGTAAAAGAGGGAAATGTTACCCTATTTCTAAAGATGGGATGATTTTGACAATATGTATTATTTAGTGCAAAGCTGTTAATGTAATTTTAACTTATTTTGAGAAATGAAAGCTCTCCTCTAAAATCGGGGTTTTGAAGCTCTCTTCTCTCTGTCCAAATCTGGATAGTTATAAAATAATACATTTGTGGAATTAAACTTTTGTTAGTCTAGATTTAAAAATATTTTATTTCTTATTTATATTGTAGACGGTTGAGTGAGGTAGGTTTTTCGATTGGTTCTTATGTAAATCAAAAGCTTTAACTTGTCAAACTATAAATTAGATAACATTTTCAATTTAACAAAATATAATAAAAAAAAAAAAATAGAATTTTAGAATGTTTTGGGTTAAAAAAAAAACAAACTAATCTAACACTTGTACCAGTTTTTTGTATTTGGAGCAAAACTGACGGTATTATACCAGATAAATAAAGCAACACATAAAACAATGGAATATCATTGGCTTGTTTCATATAAATAATAAATCCTAAATGGGTATTAGTTTTAAAAGAATTTCAAGAATGTGATTAATAAAACAGAACTTTTAGCAATTAGAGTTCAGACAAGTATGAGATTTTAAACCAGAGCACATGTAGAAATCCTGATCATTACAGTGTAAGGACTCTAAATAGTTTTTATTGATCTTAGAAGTCCTTATATGACCCATTTTCTGTCTCTAATCTTTGCTTCGTGTCCCAACACTCTATTGACTTGTTTGTTTTTTGGTTTGTTTTTGCTGCTGTTGTTTGTCGCTCAATCATTAATCGTGTTTGATGCTTTCTCCTACCTGCATGTCATTCTTCTTTTGCTTGAAAAACATTTATCCACTTAAATATATATATATAAAAAAAAAACAATCTTTAACAATTGTTTTTTTTTTTTTTTTGGTGTAGACCGCCTCAATCTAAAATCCTTAGAGAGGATCAGAATCACAACATGTACGTAGCTGGTTGCATGGAGGTTGAAGTCAAATCTGCCGAAGAAGCGTTTCAAGTGTTCTGGAGAGGTGAGTGCTTTTGTGGAGATCCATAAACAAGGGAAGCGACTGCTTTGAAAAACAGACTCTGCAGTGATGATATGTAGATGTGACTGACCTAGAATTGCTGGTCTCTGGATCAGTTCTGTCTAGGAAATGACATTTGTTAATCTTCTCTCTGAGCAGGTTTAAGATAACTTTTGTGTATTAGGAAAAAAAATAGTTGGGATGAATTTAAGCTGGAAACAAAACTGGTTTTCAATTTTTTATTTTTTTAAATTATACATTTTGTTTTTTGCAGGTCAGAAGAAGAGAAAAGTTGCAAACACTCGGCTGAACAGAGAGTCAAGCCGTTCTCACAGTGTGTTTATTATCAAACTGGCTCAGGCTCCTCTGGATGCAGATGGTGACAACATTCTCCAGGTGAGCTGCCTGCAACCAAACATCTTTTCCCAGAGTTGAGTCCATATTTAAAAATTCACCGCTTGAAAACCACACAAAAAATTTAGACTTTTCGCTTTGAATTGTCAGGATAAAAACCAGGTGAGTGTCAGTCAGCTGTGTCTGGTGGACTTGGCAGGAAGTGAACGCACTGCTAGGACTGGAGCTGAGGGCACACGGATACGCGAAGCAGGTTTGTTAAACGCAAACATTAGATTTTATTACCTTGATATTTTTTGTGCCATCTAACATGATAACCCACACAGGAAATATAAATCAGTCTCTCCTGAATCTTCGAACGTGCATGGAAATACTCCGAGAGAACCAAATGTATGGCACTAATAAGGTAAGTGTTTCCAGATTAAACCTAAACAAATAAATAATTTAAATTCTATCCAGGCAGCTAATATTGGATTTCTGTTATAGATGGTGCCTTACAGAGACTCCAAAGTCACCCACCTGTTTAAAAACTACTTTGATGGAGAAGGAAAAGTCAGGATGGTTGTATGTGTCAACCCCAAGGCGGACGATTATGAAGAAACTATGGCAAGCACAGATTCCCCACATCCTGAATAAGTTAATGGTTGCCTTTTCCAAGCTAACTTCCTGTCTCTGCAGCTGGTGATGCGGTTTGCAGAGATGACCCAGGAGGTGGAGGTGGCTCGTCCATTGGACCGGCCCATCTGTGGATTCACCCCTGGACGCCGCCATCGAAACCAGGCTTTTAAAGAGGAGCGTGGTGCTCTGATAGACAACGGTAAGAAAACATCAGCCTAATGGATCAAAAGCACGGCTGAGATACAGAAGTAGGGCTGGGTATTTTCGCCAAAGTCATGAATCGATTTGATTTGATTAATACAGTTCTAAATCGATTAATTTCGATCTGTTTTTACAATAATGGAAGTGGTTCAACTGTGTTTCAAAAGACTCATGTATTTTATTTTTTTCCTGTCACATTAAACACAAAGTGCAAACTTGCAAATCAGACAGTTTAAGCTTGAGATGTGAACAAAACTGTCTCATAAGTGCAAACTTGTTTGTGAAAAAGTGAAGCCTCACTCGAGCAAGCAGACGTGACACAGCAGACATGCATGAGCTGCATTATCTTTACTACACAAACCATATGTGCAGCGTTGTCTGTAACAACTACAGGGTCATTGCTGGTCAGCCCCCATTTCTTAATGTCTTCAGTCAACCTGTTGGCTATATTTGCAGCTGTCTGGCTTGAAATAATCTTGAGTGCATCTTTCCTGCTCATTTGAATGTGAACGTCACACGCGTTACTATAAAACTAATCGATCTCATTCCCTAGACATCGATTCTGCAAAAATGTAAAGGAATTGAATAAATCTAATTTTTTTTTTTTTTTTTTTTTACCCAGCCCTATACAGAAGTATATTTAATTGTATGTGTTTTGCACTATTAATTTGTCCCTTGTCAAAACAAAGAGAAATGTTTAGATAAAACCAGTTAGATCATACATATCTTAAAGAGTTATTGATTTCTAATGGACCTTTAGTTTGGAACTAGCCTATTTTTCATGTATTCCCTTTTTCATGTTTATATTTTAACATTTTTTATTATTATTGATTGATCAACAAATTAAAAAAGAAAAAAGAAATGAAAGGAGCCTGACTAGTCATTTGAGGTTCATTAGGTGCCCAACATTAGGTGTTGGGCTCGCTTTTAGTGAAAAAAAAAAAAAAAATCAAAAACAATTTTGGGGCAGTTTCATTCTCTCAGCTGGGACCTGACTTATTTCCTGTTCCAACATTTTTATGCACTTTCACTAGCCTGCACAGAGTTCAGACACAAACTTGATGGAACATCAGTAGAATGAATTAGAGCAGAACCTTCTAGTCCAACATCAGTGTTTGATCTCTTCTAGATGAATGATAGAAAATCCTATAAACCTCATTGAAAGTCTCCCCAGTAGTTCAAGCTGGTGTGTTTGCAAAGGGTGGGCTGAGAGGGCATTAAACGGGGGGTCAAGACAGTAGTTTACAAAATAACAGGAATGAAAACGTTAGAGCTTCCAGTTTAACATAAAGTTGATCTTTGATTTAAAAAAAAAAAAAGAAAAGAGATAACTTCAGTTTAATAGAGTAAAAGACCGTTTTATGGTGTTTAATTTGTCTTGTCTCTTTAGATGGGACCTCTGTTGTAAATGGTATGCTGCTGAGCCTACCTCCACTGCCCTCCTGTGAACTGACTGACCCGAACGATGAGATCACCCTGCCTCGGCTGATTGAAGCCCTGCAGAACAGACAGAGGATCCGGCAGATGATAACTGATGAATACAACAGAGAAGGTGTCTGCTCTTAGCTTCTCTCTCACAGGTCCAACCGTTTCTCGTTTTGGCTCACCTTCCACCTCCTTCTCTCTCATTATAGCCAACATGATGAAGTCTATGCTTCAACAGCTGGACTCCAGCCTTGCTTCTAAAGAGAATTTGATCCATGAGCAGAATTGCAGACTGGCAGAGAAAGAGAAAGTGATCCAGAGCAACAAGACTGAGATTGACCGTTTAGAGAAGAAGAACAAAACGCAAGAACACAAGGTTCTTCTCTAACTTATTTAACACTGCCAGGTTTTAGATGTTCTGTGGTTTCCTAAATGTCTCTCTTGACTCTGTTTCAGATCGATATCTTGCAGAAAACGACTAAAGTCTATGAGGATGACAAGCGTTCCCTGCAGCAGGAGCTGGAAACCAGGGGGCATAGGCTGCAGAGAGAGCTTTCTGAGAAGAGACGCATGGAGCAGCGCCTGCAGGGCATGGTCTCAGACACAAAGCATAAGTGGGAGAAAGAATGTGTAAGTTGGAACAAACTCTATTGGAAATAAAGGTGACGTCATCTTGGATAAATATGGCGCTTTAACATTATTGCGTTGTGCAGGAAAGACGCGTGAACGCCATGCAGCTGGAAATGCAGAACAAGCTGTGGGTAAAAGATGAAAAACTGAAACAACTCAAGGCCATAGTAACAGAGAGCAAGACTCCTGGTCGCCCTGATCCGCCACCGCGTCAGACTCAGACCAAGCCTCAGCGGCCATCCAGGGAGGAGCGGCCCCCAGCAAAGAGATCAGCATCACCATCGCCTCTTCCTGTATGTTTTCTTCCTACCACTTGGCTTCCTGTCTGTGTTTAATGTAAATTTGTTTTCAGTCCTTCAGAATATCCCTGACTTCTCTCCTCTTTGTGACTGGTTCTGGGTCTGAGAATGTGGAGGTGTCCATAACCAATGTTTTCCTTTGTTCTTCTGATTGTATGTCTAATTCTGCATTCCCACTTTGCTTCTCAGAGCCCTGTGGAGTCTCCACAGGTCAGTCCAGTGCCAGGGTCACCTCCAGCCGCTAGAGTTGAGGAAGTTGAGATGAGCCCCAGCCCTCCATCCTCCCCTCCCGACAGAAGTTGTTCCTTATCAGTTCCCAATTCTGTCTCCTCGTTGAAGCAGCAGGCAGCTCAGCCAAACAGACAGGGTTTACAGTCCCCTCTTACCCCCAAAAGAACCCAGGCACCTGCTGGGTCTTCAGCACAGCGACTTAAGAGGAGAGGAGAGTGCTTTAGTAGACAGCAGGGAGACTGTATCCCCTTCCCCGTTCTGCTAGAAGAGAGAAGCAACAGGGTCAGTGATTTAGCTGCAGCAGCATCAGGTTGAAGAATGAAACATAACTCCTTATGCTTTTTTGTCGTGAAACTTCCTGGTTTTCAGGCTTTAGAATGTCTGTCTATTTAGCAGGATTATTGTTTTGTTTGTTCTTCTTTGAATCGTTTTGCTTGCTGTCCGATCAGACGACAACACCGGTGCGGCCCCTCCACCGTCGTTCCCGCTCTGCTGGCGGAGAGAAATGGGTGGACCACAAGCCGTCATCTAGCCTAGACCTGGGGACAGTCCTGCAGCCCGTCATCCCCAACGCCATCCAGGTGTCCACGCCCAACGAGAAGGCGCTGTCTAAGTGTGACAGATACGTTTTAACACACCAGGAGGTGGCCTCTGATGGAGAGATACAGACCAAACTTATAAAGGTAAGATAAATATCAACTCTGTTTGAGAGATACTTTTGCTTTCAGCTTCATATTCAGAGAGGCTTGAGTTGAATTTTAGAGTGAAATAAAGGAATTCTGTAAAAGAATGAGGAAATGTAGAAATATGTAAGGAAAATAAATGTTGAAAATTAGTGTTAATCTAATAATTTCTGCATATTATGCTGACAAACGTTTCAGTCAGTATTCCTGTAGGACTGGTAGTGTTGTAATAAAAATATAAATACATTTTGGAGATATAAGTAATAACAAATGTGAAGAAAAAAATTATGCCGCCTTCATTTTACTGCATTTTATTTTTCTTCTATTCTTTACTATGACCTATATTCCCACATTTGGTTAATGGTTACATGTACTAACCTCGGCTGCAGATCCCCCGACAATTTTAATCTAAAAAAAATGTGGCCAGTTTCTGGAGTTCCATGAAAGAACTTGAAAATGGTTGTTTTCATGGAAAAAAATATTCGATCATAGGGATGTCATTTTTAAATGTCTGACAATATTGTCCCAAAAGTTCTGTCTGCTTTTTATTTATTAATTTTTCCCCCTTCCGTTATCTTATGCAGGCCAGTTAGTTATGCATCAGCCTGAACACTAAATTCGGCCAATCATATATCAACGGCCATCTGTCAATCACATTTTTTCGGCCATAGCCTCTTGATTAAAGGAATAGTACACCCAAAACATGATTAGCCTTCATTTTCTACTCACCC